CTAACCACTATGGCTTAGTGGGTTCTCTCCGTCGACGGAGCCAAAATGACTAACCACTATGGCTTAGGGGGTTCTCTCCGTCGACGGAGCCTAAATGACTAACCACTATGGGTTAGGGGGTTCTCTCCGTCGACGGAGCCTAAATGACTAACCACTATGGCTTAGGGGGTTCTCGACGTCGACGGAGCCAAAATGACTAACCACTATGGCTTAGGGGGTTCTCGACGTCGACGGAGCCCAAATGACTAACCACTATGGGTTAGGGGGTTCTCGACGTCGAAGGAGCCCAAATGAGTAGACTAACCACTATGACAGCAACTATGACAACAACTTAAAACATGACAAGCAACTCAAATCATAAAGGATAGCTTGATGCAACCTACTTAATAGATTCTTACACAACATACTAGAGTTCAACTTAGGTCACAACTTAAAGCAACAACATAGTTCCAACTTAGTTCACAACTACACATCCATAGTAGATAATTTAGTTCACAACAACACCATAACTTCACAAAAGGTGAGCAAAGCAAGCATTCTTCTTCTTCATGTTGATCTGGATCTTGCTCTTGCTCTTCCTCTTCATCTACATCTTCATTCTGACAAGATGTCCAGGATCCCCTTCAATTTCTGCTTGTTCTTCTCCTCTGACTTCAACAGTTCAGCAATCTGAATCTTTAGCCGATCCCTCCTTGCTGTGAGCTTGTCATGCCCCTTCTTGAGATCACCCATGTGAAGGAGCAGCTGGGTGTTCTCCTGGATGAGCTTTTCCTCAGATTTTTTGAGTTCATCAACCTGGAAATGCAGGTTCCTGGTGGATGTACTAAGCACTTCCTTCTCTTTTAGATGATTGAACTTCAGGTTATGGATGGCAGTGCCTTGAGATTTTGTGATGTTCATCAGTACTTTATACTTCTCCTGCAGCTTGAAGATCTCTGCATCTTTCTTCCCCATCTCTGTCTTCATGTCAGATACAACTGTCTCAAAAACCTGCACATTCTGCATCTTAGCCTGCAAATAGCTGAAATCTACCATCCTATCCTCTTGAGCATTGAACAGTTGGTGCACATCTTCAACCAATTTGTCATAGTTGGCCTCTAGATTATTTTTTTCTTCTGTCAAATGGTGAATAGTGAGTGAACTCTCCAGGTTATCCTTCCTCCTATCACTCTTGATGTCATGGTACATTTCCCATAACTTCAACAAGGCATTCTGCAATGTAGGAGGCCACTCTGGATCAACCCAGAGAACAATACCATAGTTGTCATCTTCCTGCAATATAAACAAACATAGCATGTGCAAAATCAATCTCCTAGGCAAATTATTTAAGCAATAAACTCTGAGCAACTTGCTTTAAATAATAACTGAACTTTGAGCATCTAACTTTAAACAATGAAATAAAAATCAAATCAAGCATCTGCCACTAAATTAAATAATGAACTTTAAGCATCAACTTTTAGCATCTTTGAGCAACAACTTTAAAGAATGAACCTCTGACACTAAACACTAACTGAATTTTGAGCACCAGACATTGAATCTCTCTGACATTATGCAATCAAATAATTTGCAAATTGAGTACTCTTGTGAACTAAACAATTATCATCTGCACTGCAAACTAAGTTGTTGCCCAATTATAAAATTACTGGCCAAATTAAATATACATGGAAAGCATCAACACATTTTCTAATCCAATGATTAGCATCAGTACTACTAAATGACCATCACAGCTACCCAATTAAACTAGAGTACTCATTAAACAATGTGCATCAGCACATGGCTAGATTAAAGAACATGAAACCAATGCACTGGACAATTCTATGCACATGGCTAGATTAAACAATACAATTAAAACAGAGATTTGTACAGAATCTTACACTCTTAGGACAGACTAAGAACCTCCTGTCCGTGTTAAATGCTTCAAATGCTACACGCCTCTCAGCCGCCACACCATGCTAATGGCAAAGAACGATGGGTGTTGTCTCAGTGCCACTGTAGTCTTGGTCTTCAATGCTAGCAGGGATCTACAGGAGCAAAAGGAAGAGACAATCCCCAAATCAAATCAAATCCCCAAATCAGATAACCTAATCCTAACCCTAGCTCTACAACTCACCCGGTAATGCATGGCTTCGTCGTCGGAGAGGTTCATGTATTGCTCGCTGGAGTCCTGGCTGATCTCGTCCTCCATGGCGCGATGGCGAGCCGGTTGAGGTGGCGGCGGCGGCGGCGGCGAATCGGAGATAGGAGGGAGAGCGAGAGTGAGGACCGACCGAGCCGACCGAGCCAGTTTTGACACACCGCACCGCACCAGTGTCGTCCTAGTCAACAAACCGAGCACGCGCCGATTGGCCACCATGTCACCTGACAGGTGGGCCCGGTCTGTCAGATACATGGTCAATACACACTTATACGGCTGTCAGTCCATTTTGTAACAGTTAGACCGAATAGTGGTACTAAACTATGACATGCACGAACAATGGTATTGACTCGTGAGTAGGTGCGCAAGTGTGGTACCAACGTGCAATTAACTCGTCGACGGGAGGTTGCAGCTTCCCACGACGAGGTTGCAGCTCCCCACGATGAGGTTGCAGCTCCCCGCGATGAGGTTGCAGCTTCTGGTGCCGGTAGTCCCAGCTCCGCCCAGCCGCAGTCGTAGAGGAGGTGGAAGAAGCACCCCCCAGCTCCGCAGTAGCACCTTGCTCGTGTTCTTCCCCTCGCCGTCACAAATTTAGGGGTTGTTTTGGGGGGAAAAGGGACCGGGCTTCTCTCATCGAATTACAAAAGCACTAGTGGATGAGAGGTAGGGGGTGGGTGCGCGGCCATGTCCAGTTCCTAGTAGCAGCAGAGACCAGTGGCCAATAAGAGGAGAGATCCATGGAGGAAAAACGAGACCAGGGAGAAACAGAGAGAGAATGACAGGAGGAAAAGGATAAGGAAGGAAGGAGAAAAAGAAGGGGGAGGGACAGGCATGGGCCACACAAAGAAAACATGCGGACGCGGGGGAGGTAGCGCGCACCAGCGATGACACGTGGTGACGCAGCGAACGACCGGCGCAAACTCGGCCGGTGCGCTGTTCCCAAACATTTACCTAACATATTTTTGTACGAAACTGCAACGAGCCTACCTCACCACTGGTCAAAATTTACACCTTCCAAAACTCAGATTTTGGATTCCATGAAATCGTACCATACGACATAATTATGACCGAAAGGAATCGAAAGCTTTTGCAGAAACATAATTAAATTACAAAAAAGTTACACACCACTCTTGTGGACAGATGACATGAATGTTCGGGTCACGCTCCTAACACTGGGCGGGGAAGCACGGTTGCTGTATCTTTTCTCAATATCCAGGGGTTCTCTAGCCAGACTTCATTATTCTTTTGTCTCTGATGGGCAGCGGAACAGGTTTTTGAGCCACATGCGGGTGCTCTGATCCTTTGTACACCTTGAGGTGGGTAAATAGTCTTCTGCCCAGCTGCAAAATGGTTCAAAGGTTGAGAAGATCACAGAGAAAAAGAGTAAATTTGGCGAACTGAGAAAACCAGCACTTAACAGGAGAGTAACACGAGATATTTTCTAGCTAACATGGACATTTCAGAGAACACAATCCAATACTTGTTAGCCGGGTCATCCGAGCACTTAAGTTGAGAGCAAATATTTTGGACTGGGTGTAATTCCACATTCATGCCAATGGCAAGGTAAAACTTATTGGCAATATTTAATTAAATAAATTTATCTGCATTTCTAATTCTTGGTAAACTTTGGGGCACACAAAATACCTGATGCAACCAACTAGGTAAGAACTAACAGATGCCAAGAGATGATTTCTTACCCTGCCCTTAGGAAGCATGCCACGCACAGCATGTTCGATAATTCTCTCCGGAATCCTTTTCTGAAGCTGATCAAAAGTTTCTTCTTTCATTCCACCGGGCCGTCCAGAGTGCCTTTTATAGAGCTTCTGTGACCTCTTTTTACCAGAAACAGCAACCTTCTCTGCATTAACCTATGTAAAACATATAGTTCAGTATGTCAGCTCAGCAATGTGCAGTAATTTCTGATATGAAAAGCCACATTAACATGATGATATAATATAGGTTTCAGGAATCAAGATGGGTTTAGGTGCTTATTTTTTCCTCCCGCTAATTTTATGAACTTATTTGCCTTGAAAAGAACACTGCTACGGTATTCTGTAAACACCATACAAACTACTTCGGTGCGTACCACAATAACAAAAGCCCCCATGTCCACACTTGGAGTGTATGTGGGCTCATTTTTCCCTCTCATATGCACTGCGATAGCAGATGCTAGCCTGCCAAGAATCTTGTCCTCTGCATCAACAACATACCACGTCTTCTCGGTAGTTACGTGATCAGCAGCCTTAGGGTACCATGTTGTGTTCCATATGTCCTGCGAATTAAATTGATTGATCAGATTACTACACAGAAAAGGTTACACACACACACATACACAAGCAAGCAAGCCATGATACCAATACACCGGTGGAACATAAACAAGATAGTCATGCTGAGATCTTAATGAGCATAAGCACTAAACAGAAACATGGGTGGCCACGATGAGCCAATGCCGCATTTGTTTACCAGATGTAACAAACCAGTTTCTACCATATTAGCTTCATTCTTGTGTTAATTCTCGTAAAGTACCACTCCTGTTCGTTTATTTCATTTCCCAGAATCCTCGTTCACCACAAACTATGAGCAGCTAATTTTGGCAGTTGTATGTATCATCATATGTACTACGTGAGCATTGTATAGTGACATGTGAGTCTGTGATAGACTAATTATAATTATGCGGATTGATGAAACTGAAAGGAACCATTTGAGAATTTCAAACCGAAAAAAGTCGTACAGCATAGCTACTCTTTTCCTGAATATGAATCGCAGCACTAGGAAATAGAAGAAAGAGATAAGAGTGGGGGCTCGTACGGGTCCGCAGAGCTCGTCGCCCTCGAACATGAAGCGCTGCTCGCGGGGAACGAGTGCGGAAAGAGGCTGCCGCTTCTGTTTGTCGCTCTGCTCGCACCGCACCGTGAGGCCAGCCGGGACGGCGCGGCGGGGCGCGGGCCTCGCCGCGCGGCGATGGCGCCTATCGCCGGCGAATGTGGAGGAGAGGAGCGCGGAGGCGGAGATGGCCGTAGCCATTGCAGCGGCGGTGTCCGGACCTAGTCGGGGGTGGGTTCACTGGAATGCCACTGGCATTTCCTTTCGAGGAGGCGAGGCGGGGAGAGTGGAAGCGGATAAGAAGGGGATAGGAGGAGAGAGAGGGACGGAAAGAGGAGGAGATGGGCTTTGCTCATGGGCTTCCAAGAAAAAGATTTGCCAGTGTTAAATAAGGAGGTTTCTACTATATTTTCTCATCGTCATCGACAAAGAAAAAAAAAGCCATTTTCTTCAAAAAATGTTGGCATATCATCGGAAATTCTCTTTGCAATGAAGTTCTTTTGGCTATTAATAACAAGGTAATTCCTAAAGGGTGGAATGATATTGTTATTGTTTTAATCCCAAAGGTCGAAAGTCCAGAAAAAATTACCCAGTTTAGACCTATCGGTTTATGTAATGTTCTTTATAAGGTCATCTCGAAAATGATAGCGATGAGACTGAAGCATGTTCTAGATGACATAATTTCACCTGTCCAGAGTGACTTCGTGCCAGGCCGTATGATTACTGATAACATCCTCGTGGCTTATGAGTGTATGCATATGCTTAAAAATAAGAAGAAGGGAAAAGATGGGTACTGTGCGGTGAAACTTGACATGCATAAAACATATGATCATGTTGAATGGATTTTTCTGGAAAAGATGCTAATACGACTGGGTTTTTCTAGTGAGTTTGTGGAGTTACTGATGGCATGTGTTAAATCAGTAAAATATAAGGTGCGTTTTAATGATCACGAGACTGATGAATTTATTCCTACAAGGGGTCTCATGCAGGGAGACCCGCTATCCCCATATTTATTCCTGATTTGTGCAGAGGGTTTATCAAGTTTATTGGCTCATCAAGAGGAGGTTCGTGGCATTGAAGGGGTAAGGGTGTGCAGAAATGCACCATCGGTTTCTTATTTACTTTTCGCCGATGATTCCCTGATCCTTATGAAGGAAAATTTAATTAATGCAACCTCGTTGAGACATGTTCTTGATCAATATTGTGCAAGCTCGGGACAAATGGCCAGTGATGCAAAGTATAGTATTTTCTTCAGTCCTAATGTTGATGTCGAAGTAAAGGCTGCAGTTTGTGCCCAGCTGAATATTATGACGGAGGCAATTTCGGATAAATACCTCGGTCTTCCTGCAATGGTGGGGGCAGATAGAAGTGATAGTTTTATTCATCTTCTTGAGAGAGTAATAAAGCGACTAAAGGTATGGCGGGAAAAGTTTCTTTCGGTGGGTGGCAAAGAAATTTTATTGAAGGCTGTTATTCAGTCTCTACCTGTTTTTGCTATGGCAGTTTTTAATATTCCCAAAAAGATTTGTAAGCTCATAACAGACGAAATGTCTAGCTTTTGGTGGGGAGATACTGAAGAACAAAAGAAAATGCATTGGTGGGCGTGGTGGAAGATGTGTGTACCAAAAAAGAATGGAGGTATGGGGTTTAGGGACTTGCACGCTTTTAATCTCGCTATGTTAGCAAAGCAAAGTTGGAGGTTGATCACAAAACCAAATTCTTTGTGTGCGACTGTTCTCAGAGCTAAGTATTACCCCGATGGCAATTTACTGAAAGCGGGTCCGAAGAAGGGATCCTCTTTTACTTGGCAGAGCATAATTGCTGGGCTACGCACATTTATGAGAGGACACATATGGAGAGTTGGTACTGGAGCAAACATCAACATATGGGAGGACCATTGGGTGCCTAGCAGTCCGAACAGGAAAGTAATAACTGTGAAAGGACAAAGACTTCTGCAAAATGTAGATGATTTAATTGATCCCTTTACAGGAAAGTGGGATGAGGCTTTGATTAGAGATAATTTTATTTGGGTGGATGTGGAAAGAATTTTAAAAATCCCTTTGAGTCCTAACATGACTGAAGATTTTGTGGCATGGCAGTATACGAAGTCGTTCTCGTTCTCGGGTCGATCAGCTTATTATGTGGAATGGGAACATCAATTTGGTGCTCAAACTAGGTGGGGGGATGGCCAATGAGCTATGCATGCAAACCCGGTATGGGATATTTTGTGGAAGTTACAAATTCCAAGCAAGGTGAAAATTTTCGCCTGGCGTGCTTTACATGGTATTGTCCCAGGGATGTCGATCTTGGCAAACAGACACATCAAGGTACAGCCTCAATGCCCAGTATGCAAGCAAGGGGCGGAAGATATGCGACATCTGATGTTTACATGTGAAAGAGCAAAATAAGTATGGAAGAAACTGGGGTTACATGAAATAATAGGTGAAGTCATTCAAATTGATAGGTCAGGTAGTGTGATCCTTGAAGAATTACTAACGCAACCGGCGAGACATTCACCTGTTCTTGGTAGGTTGGGATTCCGGGAGTCTTTGGTCGTTGGGGCTTGGTATATATGGTGGCAGCGACGAGAATTTGTTAAGGGCAAAAATGTCCAAAATCCTTCAAATACTGCATTCGCTATCCAAGCGATCACAAGTAACTTTTCTCGAGCTGCGGATCAGAAGAAACCGGATAAAGTTATGTGGGTGAAACCTCCAATCAATTCTTATAAATTAAATGTTGACGCCGCTTTTTTTGAAGATGGAACGGGTGCAGCTGCAGCAATTCTTCGAAACAACCGAGGAGAGGCTCTTGCGGGAGCATCCTGGTTGCTTCATCATCTCCTTGATGCAACAACGGCGGAAGCAGTAGCTATTCAGCGAGGACTAGAGTTGGTTGAAGGACTCGGCTGTCACCAGGTCATTGTTGAATCTGACTCATTGGAAGTTATTCAAGCATGCAATGGCGTGATTGAGATTTGGAGCCCCTATACTGCTATTTTGGCTGATTGTTTTCAAAAAGCATACCGTATTGGTGCGGTATCCTTCACTCATTGCCCTAGGGAGGCTAATAGATTGGCGCACAATCTTGCTAGACATAGTTGCAATTTAAATTCTACTTTTGTTTGGGATGGTGATCCTCCCAGCTTTTTACTTTCGGACATTGTGGATGATGTAACTTTGATATGAGTTTAATAAAGTGCGCCAAGTAGTTTTCAAAAAAAAACCCTAGCTGTCCTTCACTAGGTTTTTGTGGCTTAGGTCGGATCTCCCCGCCTCCTGCTCGCCTTTTCGGCTTTCAGAGGTGGGGAAGCTACGGATCAATGCTCGGGGTCTAGTTTGTTTTTCATCTACGTTTGATTTTTTTACGGCAAAGTCTCGACATTGAAGGCAGTGTCATTTGTGGTCCTTTCCACATCACAATGTGACCGTTGTGGCCGATGCAACCTACACGGGTAAGAAGTTGTGGTGTTTTGGTCCCACAGATCGACGACTCCCATTGTCGAGGATTGTCATCCGCACTTACCTATTTTTGGCGACGGTGATGGCAGTATTGTAAGAATGTTCTTATCACTAGAGATTCTTTCTTTTGTGCTCCCGGTATTCTTCCCCGGTGACACAACAACAAAGTATCAGTTTGACAACATTTCTCGCAAGGGGTGTGTGCCTTCAGCCAGTGTGTGTTCCACAATCTTAGGTTCTTACTGTGCTAGGAATGTGCGGCTCATAGACTCCTTAAAACTCAAGATGGGAATGGGCCGGGTCGGCCCGCCGGGTCGCTGACCCGGCCCAAAAAGTCAAGGCCAATGGGCCAAGCGGGTCGGCCTTAAACGATATACGGGTCAATGGAGTCGACATCGTGCGACCCGATGGGTCACATGGGTCGATCCAATCGAATCGCTATGCCTAGTCATTGTTGGCCGTCCCTATACGGATGTACACAAACTTGATCATATACACAAGAACATATATGATATATGATGATGTTGTACGACACTGACTAATTCGGTCGGAGACGCCCCTGTACACAAGCACAAGCAGGCAGACAGCCAGGTGGATCAATTCTTACGTGAAGTCGTAAACTTTTTTTGAAAGATCCAGGTAGGCTGGCATTGATTGATTTAGAAGAGAGCATATGGAAGACAGAGTTTGATCAAGTGATCAAAGGAAAAACAAGAAAGAGATACATCGGGGGGGGCTTCGGCCTGCAGCTCCCCGCAAAGAAAAGCCTTAAGAGACTATCTCACACCTAGATCCCCAAAGGGGGGCTCGATAGATTTTGCTCCGGCTAGCCGCCAGTGCTCCATCATGCGTCGAATGGAATCAATGACATCCTTCAAACAACTGTCTTCGATCTGAAGGTACAATTGTTTCTTTCCATCCAAATTGCCCAGGTGGTAGCCATGATCATAGTCTTCACTCCCCTCCTGTTTTCCGCTCTTGTTTCGTTTACAATGGCCTTAACTGCCGAGTGTGTGCATCGCCGATCTTGTGGAGGCGGGGCGAGCGACAAGCATCCTTTCCATTCTGCCACGTTTGCCCAGGTTGCCTTCATGAATGGGCAGTTCCAGAAGAGATGCACGGAGAACTCAAGGTTTTTGAGGCAAAACTGACAGAAGTAAGGATTTGGCCATCGTCGACGTTGCAGACGGTCATTACACCACGCTCTATCATGATGAATCAGCCAGGAGAAGATTTTGATCTTGCCCGGTGCCCACACCTTCCAAATGACCGAATTCATTCCATTGTTTGGTAAGTTTTTAAAGTGGGCATTGTAGGCAGAGCTCGTGGAGTAGGATCCTTTTGCATTTTCTGTCCAAGTGATCACATCTTCCCGATGCTCATTGCTTAGTCCTCCATGTTCTCTGATCTTGCGGGCCAACCTGACCACATCATGGACAATTTCTTCATACCGCCCATTGCCAAGGCTGCGGATCCAGCAATCGTCTTGCAAAGCCTCAGCCACAGTTTTAAGCTTGCTTCTAGACCTTTTGAACAACAGCGGAAAGGTTTGACAGAGTGGTTCATCTCCCAACTAATGACAGGTCCAAAATTTCGTCGTCTTGCCGTCTCCGATGGCAATCTTCGTGACTTGAGTGAAGAGTGCCCTGTCATTGCTGTCGCACGGGATGGGGGAAGCTTTCCAAGGCCTGTCCGGCTGCATCCATTCCAACCAAAGCCACCGGAGACGAAGTGCTCTGC